ATTATTTTGGTTTAGTACAAATTACACACAAATTTTCCTTTATCATAGACCATAATTCTTGGTAAACATAATTTTGTCCAATCTTATCCCAAATTATAGTTTTAATATAATACATGATACATTTTGATATTGTAGTACACGTAGTAAATAAAACTCATTTATTTAATAATTAATATAGATGAACCATTTTTTATACAAAATCCAACTAGTTGCCAACTTTACGATGTATATAATGCTAGCCATATATTAATTATTTGTCCATTTTGGCTCGCGTTTTTGTTCAAAGGCAACTCTTCCTTCCTTACTATCACTCTAAAAAAATAAAGGTACGTTTATGTAAATAAAAGCTGTTAATGCCCTAAATCTGAACAGCGAATAATATATACCAAAGAAAATAGAGCCTGGAATATTCTTCTTTCGAAACGACACCCTTCTCTTAACGATAACTCATATGCTAATAAATAGAAATCAAAAGAATTTAAAAAAAAAGCTTCCAATAATTTAAATAAAGTAGCTCGAAACAACTTATTTAACAAATTACAGACCAGAATTGACGGACTCTTTAGCAGCTTGAATGACTGGCTGAGAAAATCCAGCAAACTCTTGTCCAAGTTCAATAGTTTTTTCAAGTAATTCTCCCACTGGAAATACTTTACTTACAAGCCCCCATTGTTCAGCTTCTTGGGCTGTAAAAGTTCGACCAGATAATACAATTTCCATTGCCTTAGATTTTCCAACTACTCTTGTTAGTCTCTGTGTACCTCCAGCGCCTATATTGAATTTAGTACTTGTAAAGGAAGGAAGAAAGAAGGAAGGAATAGTTGAATGTATAAATTGAGATCAATTACCAGGAATTAGACCAAGTTTAATCTCAGGTTGACCAAATTTGGCGGTTTCTCCTGCATATATTACATCACAACTCATAGCTAATTCGCACCCACCTCCCAACTGCTCAGAAAATACATATAATAAAGGTATGATTATTCGAGAACAAAATTATTCAACCAGAAGAATGCAAAAATCATTATTAAAAATCAGAATCACAATACCGCGAATCCATTGACAGCAGCAATGACAGGCTTTTTGACATTATTAATCTCCCCCCAATGACCAAGGAAATTTGTTACATAAGATTTAGAAAACGTTTGATCAGACATTTCTTTGATGTCGGCTCCAGCTTTTAAAATAAATGTAAAAGAATAATGATCAAAAATCCAGACATTTAATAATGAAAACTATTGATCTTGACCTCTTTAATTCATCGTTAACTCATCGTTATTGACTTTCTATATCACTATTGACCTTGTAACGAGGAAATGTGTCTCCTAAGCTATCGTATAATGATATTATATAGGGTTAAACGTTTTTTTTTAAATTTGAAATGTTTCGGTTGAGCAAAATAAGTTTCCCGATGCAAAAGTTTAACCCACAATACCAAGTTTTAAAATACACAAAAGATTCGAAAAATCATAACTACTTGATGACATCGAAGATAGTCATTGATAGAGACACTTAACAGCGAAGATGACCAACATGTATGTACTGTAGGGCGCAGCATTCAGTACCTCCAGACTAATGACGGGTATATCTCAATGTCATCGCGCGAAATTCTGACTTATACCCAGGTATAGATTAGTCGCAAGACTAGTAATGTCCAATAAAAATGAACATTTGCCTAAAGATCGGTTCAAAATACCCTCCTCTTAACACATTATCCTCTGGGTACAAATCAAGTTAATTGGAGTGTTCCTGATTTACATATACCCGGTACCGAACGCATCGCTCTACGACATTTAACATTTGAATGTTTAATTTATCACATCATTATCACAAAACAAAGTCAATAACAATATAAAGATTTTTTTTTTTCTTTAGGACAATAATGATGGTTCCAAGGGGTCAGCATCAATGTTTTTGCTTTGATAGTAATTATTAAAAAAAAAAACAAAAAACAAACCCGAAAAAACACGTTCATTTCCGGTAATGACAATAGCTCCAATACTCGAATCATTATCAAACTTTTTCAGAGCATCATTAACTTCATGAAATAAATCACTGGATAATGCATTTAAAGCTTTTGGACGATTTAGTGTGATTAATCCAACTTTATCATGACTTTCTGTTAAAATATTTTCATAATTAGGAGCATCTGATTTATATTCTTTGTCGCCATGTATAATTAAAAGTTATTTAAATTATTTAGTAAATTTAAATACAAAAGATCGTAATCGCATACCGCTATTGCGTAAGGCACTGTATGTGCTAAAACGAAAAACTGGAACATGAGTTCCTCGACGTGATAGAGAGCGTACGAATGAAACAAACATCTTATACAAAGAGAGAAGCTAAATAACGGTAATTCGGGGATATAACATAAAAGCGATTTTCATGCATAAGAAAATTTTAAGGAATGGCTATCACATTTTTAAATTATCAATCAAAAACTGATTAAACAACGTTACACGATCTTTTTATACCGGTAATTATACACGTCACTACTTATTACAACTTTATTCCGATGTCTTATCTTTTTATACAGGACATGACTAAGTGATATAATAAGTATGTACTTACATTCATAATAAAATTTTTGACCAAAAAGTAAAATAAAAGATAATACATAACTTTAACATCATTTGGGGCCTTTGCTATGATTTTTTTTTACTAAAAATAGATTTGTTATGATTTTACTAATTAAAATCTTGTGTAAC